CTCCAGAATTTAGCCTAACGGAATACGTTAAATTACAAGTATCAAGGGTCAAAAGGCTCTTTGGGGTTTTATTCCAAAACTTTAGGAAGTGTGAATCCAGAATTATGCTGTACAATTTATGTATAAGGCCCTTACTTGAATTTCGTCCTCCTATCATGGACAGTGTTTCCGTAAAAAACAGGTGCAAATTAGAAAGTCTACAAAGGGCGTTTACTAAACGTCTAGTAGGTGAAAATCTTTGCATTTCTTGCTACGACAGATGTAACATATTTGACTTGGAACTCTTATGGGTCAGACAACTGGAGTTCAGCCTAAAAATTACATTTAGGATTGCTAAAGGGTTTATATATTTCCCCCACAATGACTTTACTTTAATTCACCTAAGAAATATAACCTCAGAAATAAATCTTCATCTTTTAAAGTGCCCCGCTGTTATACAAAGTACAGATCAAATTCCTTCACTGTGAGAACCGTCTTCCAACTGAAATTAGAAACAGTTCTACCCCAAAAAACTTCTCATCTTTGCTGAATAAATATTATATCAACACCGGGCTAGAAGGCGTATGTGACAAACTAAAAATTAGAGATCTAATATGGCACTCCTCTGACCCTCACTGTTAGCTCCCGAAGTCTGTGTACTCTATGTTTGACTCTACTTTCACTATGATTGTTTCCACAACCCTAGTCACTTATTCTCAACCAGCCTTAAATTTTAATTATTTCTCCAGTCAGATATTTTTGCATATATCCGTGATAACATTGTATTATTAGTATTTCAGTAGGCTAAGAGTTGTGCGTCGGTGGCACAGCGGTTGGGACTCTCGCCGGCCATGCACATGGTCTGAGGTTCGATACCCGGCCGACGCACTCCTTTACCTCGCTAGGCCAGAAATAAAGCTGGTAAAGAGGAAAGGTTGGGCATGAGGCTAGCAACCCCATACTGTAAAAACAAACACTGCCACAGAAACTTCAAGTCACTAGCTTGAAGCCCTATGTTCCACTGGGAATGTGAAGGAATAAAAAATGCTAAGAGTTCAGTCTCAAGTTCCAAATGCAAATCCATTGAAGACGACTGGTACCAATATGTCTCTGGAGACTGCCGAATGCTATACGTAAGCACTGTCTGCCTCTACTCAAATTAAGGCCCAAATGGTGGTAGTCTAAATAATCAGCTGAACGGTGAGTTTTAATTAGTAATGAATCTTATTTTACTGTTCTATAACTATAATCCTGTGTAGGGAAAATTTTCGGAACAACATATTATAACTTACTACTACTTATATGTTTAATGCTGCACGATTATGCACTGTTTTTCGAAATTACATTTGTTTATATCTAAAGTGTAGACTATGATAGTCTATTTTCTCTACATTTTATTATTTTTCTTCTCCAAAATGCTGTGACAGAAGAAACATACATGATGTTTTTCTGAAAGTAGTCATTCATACCATGACTTTGAATGAGTTGAGGAACGAATATTTTAAAAAGTTTGTGGCGTATTATAACAGAAATTAAAAAAAAGAAGCATCTCGCCAGGGCCTTGCACATAAAGGTGGGAGGATGGTGATTGCTATTTAGCAGATATGATAGTGGGGACATATGAGAACCACCCTTATCTGTGGGACAGCACTCTATTGCTAAGGCTCCTGAGTTCGAATGGCTTCTGCAAAATAAGAGAATAAATAAAATAGAAACAGAAGTTGAAAATTGCGTAAAGCTGAAGCTTAAATGCAAACTCCCCAAATGTAAGTACATGGTATGAGTCCGCTACTTCAGAAGGACACCTAACAGTATATTTCAGAAAAACAGTGGATATTATGAAGCCCTCTCTTTTCTTCTACATAGTTTACGCACGTTGACTTTTGTGTTTAGCTCCTTTCCAACCTATATAAATAGGTGAAATTATCACCTTCTTTCACTTAAACTAATTGTTCGCAAGAATGACTGTAGAATTCCATTACTAAAACCTATCGGGAATAAAAAATAATTTTAAAAAAAAACAAAAAATGATGAACACCATAACTGTAACATATTTTGAATTATTAACAATCATTATGTACTTCTGCACCTCTCTGGCGGTTCTTTTGTGTTTTCTTCTCTTTTCAAAGGTACTGCCTTCAACGAAGGCACTGATATAGTGCTGCTATCCTCTACTTATTTGGAATATTGCTAGCTCAACTGGTGAATAACGGAACCACCTCTATCATGAAATCTGTCAAGTGCAAAGTTGGTCCCATATACAACTGTAAATGTCACAATTATGGTGTGCTTACCGGTAACTTTGAAGTTTTATAGACTTTCAAACACTTTATGGATCATTCACTTATAATTGTTGTTCATTCTGCATCTCTCATGTTTCACGTCAGCACCTGTACAAAAATGCTACTTACCTTCCACAATTAATGCAATCATTTGTAATTCCCGCGTGAAATTGACATACCGTATTTTTTTCAATAACAGTTTAGATTTGACGCCATATCTTATGACTTATTCTGTCGAAAGCAGATCTCAAAAATTATCTATTTCCTTTATACATTTCTTTCAACATGTTTCTCTCACATTAAGCAGTATTCAATCAATTTCTCGATCAACAAATCATATTATATATTCTATAAATTCTTATTAGTGTACACTTGTTCATGCCTGCAAAAATGGCTAGTTTCTGTTACAGAAAATTTATTATTATTATTATAAATATCTCAGCATAGTAGCAGGTACTATCGATCACATCCAAAAGAATCAACACGCTTGTCATTTACCTTAAGGTCAGCAGTGCTCTTGCCAACTTCCTTGTCTTGGAAGAGGCCTTCGGTTGCCTCTACCTCGAAGTAATATAGCAAATAATTCAACACAACTGAATGCTCCAAACAGTGATAGACATCATTCTACGGCTGTATTACGATACCGCATGTCGAGTAATCCATAACCAATAGCTCACCAAAGCGTCTGAGGTGAAGACAAAACTACTTACTATCGCTGTTGATATTCCTGGTTGTTGTGGACTGTACTGTATCGCCAACAGTTAAGGGTGAACATACGTTTGACGACAAAAAGACCTAAAGATATTGATTTCGTATGTGATCTATGTCTATTGTCTCACACACTCAAAGATTTCGAAGCGAGAACCGACAAGTTGGCAGAAGAAGTAAAGAAGAAAGTTCTTCTAGTTAACATAGACACGAGGAAGTGATGAAGATGCCCAACAGACAACAACAAATACCACTCACCATTATTTGGAGAAATCCATGTGAATTCGTCTCTTGTATTCAGTCGAATAGGCAGCACATTTGAGGATGTCAGGAAAGCGACATAGATGTTTATAACTCTGAAATCACTACGGAAACCTGCTGCACTCCGCATAATAGAACAGGATCCTCATCTTCAACACTAATGTCAGATCAATGTTTTTATATGGTTCAGAGATGTGGGTGTAAACATTTTTTCCATTTTTACTAAGCAGAAGCATTCTACTGTTGATGACGTACATTTACTCATTTCCTCCTTCATATTCATGTCTCCGTTCTTTTGGAATTCTACTTTTCACTTCATTTTGTATGTTCCAATATTGCTGCCCTAAACTAATGTATTCCCGTACAGAAATCTGTATTAGGGAAAATTACGGAGAATATCATCTTTTGCATCAGTCACTTCGTTCATTTGAATGCATATATCATGAGAAAATAACTGTACTTGTTGCGTGACTGAGTTTCAAAATAGAACTCAACAAAGAAGTACAGCGGTTCAAGTTGCCACATTCCATATAGCACACAAAGAAAGACAAAAGAGGAAAAAAACGGATTCGGAAGTACTGCGATGAGCAGAAATGTGAGGGAGAAAGAACAGAGTTTAATGGATATGGGAGGTTGCAAAAAGTGAATGCATCTGCGCCATTGAGAACAGTCTTGATGTATATCACTGATTGTCTCCAATCATTGTTTTTCAGCACCCTGAAAATTCCGGCCAGAAAGCCTGCACACTAGTTGTCAAAGGTTTCATGGACTGATTCCAAGTTTTGGTTTGACCACCACTAGCTATCCTTTTTCCGACCTGATCGTGTGTCAGCTAACACTGCCCGTCGAGTAAGGCGATGGCTAGGCATGCGTAATATATGTCTTAAACATCTCACTCAATCGATGTAGCTTCAGAACTTCATCGATTGACTTTCCCTCTTTATCTAACACTCGACGCCTAACCTTAGTATTATTGACCCTATTATGCCACCTAACACGGAAGATAGAACGCAGGCACCTATGGTCAAAGACAGCTAGGCTTTTTATATATTCCACTTTCAATGGTCATTTCTCACAGCCATGAAGGAGGATGGAACGAACTGCTGAGCAGTACACATTTCCTTTGGTCGACAGTCGAATATCACGCCTGCTCCAGAGATGGCATAAGTTGGCAAATGCCATATGAGCCTTTTGTATCTGAGCTGAGATTTTGTCAACAATCAGTCGACCAAGGCTGATACAGCTTCCCAAATAAGTGAAGTAGTCAGCACGCTCTACCATTTCACTCCCTGTGTTTAAGCTAGGAGTTGGCGTGGTCCTGTCTTGCAACCTCATCTTTTATTTGACAGGGGAGAATCGCATACCAAAAATTCGAGGATTTCTGCTCAGGGTGTTCAGAAGACTGTATTTTATCAAAGTCCTCACTCTAGGAGTAAAATGTAATCCACATAATCTAAGTCGATGAAACTGTCCCCTGATAACAAGTCAATCCCATTAGTATATCTATGATGAAGTTAAACAAACATTGGGACAGTTGACATCTCTGACGGGCACCACATTACATCAGATGATAATTCTCCGTAAGCTCATACACTACCTCATGAGTTCGACTTATTGCGTGCCTATGTGCGACTATTGTTTATATGTTAATGTTAAGTATTTTCATTCCTAGTTAGCTTTTTACGATACTCTAAATAATACTACTCTATTTGCCAATTTGTATTATTATTTGTGCCTTTTAGGTTCGCGAAATTCTCTTGAAAAAATACAATGTCTAGCGGTGTAAAAGCCGTTAGACCAATCTTGTCGAGAAATCATGCAGAAGCTCGAAGACGTGCCATCAGTTTATATCGTGCTTGGTATAGACAGTTACCATTTATACCAAAGGAATATGCTCAGTCGAATGCAAATATTACAGTACCGATTCTGCATGACAGATTAAGGAAGGAGTTTTATAAAAATAAGGATATCAAAGATCTACGTGTAATTGATTTATTAATCCATAAAGTATGTACAAAATTATTTATGTAATTATCCTATGTATTTTTAGTGGCAAAATGAACTGATTGAAGTGGCACATATTTGGAAGTCGGATACACATGTGATGGATTATTTCAGAGAAGATAACCTCCCAGAAAAACCTAAAGATTTCTTGGACAGATTTTTAAGTGGGAAGTCATAGTCATTATAAATGCTTGTTAACTGTAGAGTTGTTAATTTGTAGTTTAAAACACTGATTTTTGTTTTATACTGTTAATTTGTTTCGAAAAGAACGTAGATAATGCATAAATTGCATGACACTTCTTGTCTAAATGAAGTTAGACTACACAAATTAGTGTATTGTAAAGACTAAAGGTTGTGACTGTTTGATGAAACCGTTAATGTTCATTCCTAACGTCATACGGAGTTGCATATACTTTTACTACCGTATGTTCACCTACTGGGGTTCGAAAAACGTGGCAGCTTCACTATCCAACTCTCATTCTAGCACATCAGTAAGACTTGTTGAAAGAAGAAGTACTTTTACAACATCGACATAAGCTTGTATACATGATTCTTCGTAGTCGAACTGTTGGAAGTACCCACGAAGTGTATGTAGATAGTTGTGTGCTCGTTGATATGTGACATGATATTTATGATAGTTTGTCATGCCAATCTAGCTTACTACTCGTAATATTTAGATCTGAATCTGTTAAAGGTCATGTTTACAAATCCGCGGTGCACACAGTCCTATTATCCCTGGAAAATTTGGCTTGTCTGAACCAAGATCGTTCGATAACTCTGTGTTTAATGATCGTTTGCTTATTTTCGTTCGCGACGCTAAACATGATTCTGATATTCGACAGTGTATGTATAGATAAAGTAGAGGTTGCCTCAATGAAATGAGAACACCGACTTATGTACCCGTCTTCTTAATGCTATTTTGAATATACTAGACCTATAACTGGACGCAAGAAGTGCAGAGGTAGTCGATCAATAACTTGATGCCCTAAATTAAGGGGCAGTTGTATTACGGTAACATTCTGACCGCCTGACCATGCTACTCAGCAGCTCGAGACGCCATACAGAGGCTTTTAGAGTCCAGACCAATGGCAGTCATGACGAAGATACCTTGTTTATTTTACTATAAGGAACTGGTGATGTGAATGTAGTTAGAATACCTGTCTAGTTGTTTGTTGTGTTCTATTCCTCACACTAAATTTTGTTGTCCACGTTCTGGTCCTCATGATCCAGGAAATCTGTGTTTAAATGAAAACAACTGCGGGAGTTGAATCCCATGAAAATATTTTGTTCAAAACCACCTAATTTAATATAGCAGATTCAGTCTATGAGCGGACTAATAAAAGCTGTAAAATGGTAAGCCATATATCTGATACTAAATCAGTCCCAAAATTATGTGATTCACTGGTTTCATATGCAATATGCTGTTAGTTGTAGAGAAAAATAACATTGAAGTAATCACCAGATGTACATCGGTGTATCTTGCGATTTTTCTAAATGTTATCATAACCCAAAACATTTTCAAAAAATGGGGAATTAGGTGGTGAGTACGATGTAACCGCAGTTTAACAAAGCAATATTACTTTTGCACGTCCTTAGGCGTGTTAAAGAGAAGCGTACTTAACCGAAGTTGAAGCCAATAAATATAAAGGCCAAAAGCCGTCACGTGAGTGGAGGGATTCCCCATCACCGGCAACCTTTTCCAGACGGGAAGATTGTTCTAAGATAAAAATTTCACCTGAATGTCCTGATGTCCTAGTAGGTGACTAGATTTCAATCTCTTCAAGTCGTCATTAACTTCACCAGAAGAGTACTAATAACTACCTTAACTCGGTTGTGTCCCCACAGAAGTAAATGAGCGGATGTTTACTATGTAGCAATGGATTAGTAAGTTTTAGTAAACTTTATTTTAGGACAAGATCTTCGTTTTTATTTGAATCATTTCAGTCTGTTCCCAATCGTTACGCAGAAATTACCCATCCACACACAGAAATAAGAACATGCAATTTAGTGAACTCTTTTCGACGAATTCATTCATTTGACTGTATGTTCGCAATTATAAATGCATAGTTTCGTAAATGTGACAAAGGGAGTGAAGATTAGTAATAATCTCCATCCAGACATTAGTGAAAAACAAAACACTTAGTTCAGCGTTAATAATTGCCATATCAAAAATGCAAAACGTAATAAAATATTGATATCAGTTGTGCGTGTTATTAAATGATAGGGAGGAGTTGGTGAAGTCTATTCATCGCATAAATTAGAGTTTTCTATATGAATGAATAAGGCTTTAGCAAATGTGGAGAATACGGAAACGTATCGTTTTCGCGGGATTTCTGTAGACTATGTGGATAACTTTGGATAGATTTTCCATAGATATCGAGTGTGACAAGTTTCAGCACTCCGAATTGACCCATTATGACTTATTTAGACCATACACGTATCGAATAATCTGTGTATCTCGCCCCACCGAAGCAAGTGAATTGGTAGAAACAGAGGTGTTTAAATATGGAAGTTTGTTCCAGGTTGTTGGAGAACATTAGACAGCAGGAGGATATCAATTCTTAGATGCGGAGAACGTTCTTTTTAAGGCGTGTGTTATTTCCTTCCTAAGGAAGTTCCCAATTGTTGTTGTGTAAGTCAGATGACATCAGCATATGCAGTGGTAGTGACTCACTTTTGATAGAAGCTCAGGCAACCTCTGTATGACTCATACTATCACGAATTGTAGTTTGAATAGGCTATTTTAATGTTATGCCCACTTTCTAACTGCGCGATTTGCGTAAGGTGTCAATGTGCTGATATCAGTGACCAAGTAGAGTCATGTTCACTGTGTCTTGTAAGGCCTACCAAATCCACAAACCAAGTTGACAAGGAAAAGCTCCGTCCAGTTACTCTGCACCTTAGTGGGGTAACAACACAAAACGACTGTTCTTGTAGATTAATAAAATTCCACCTTTAGTACGACGCCCATTGTCGATACCACAGAGTCCCCCAATAGGTACGTATGAAATGTGCTTTTCCAGCTGATAGAGAATTATCTAATGTGCATCACTATAATTTTGTGGGCTCTGAGAAATCCTGAAGTGCTGTACGTACACTAATAAGTCTACCTGATATCGGCTAAAACACAGAGCTACATAAGTTCTGTCCAGAACAAGCGGACGTTCCATAATGGATCATGTGGTACAACTGACATATGAATTAACAGAGACTATACCCATTACTATCGACGTCACGAATTGTAGTATAAACTGTATATATATATATATATATATATATATATATATATATATATATATATATTGTGGATAACTAAGGTTGTTTTTGTCGCAGTTGTTTGATTTAAATCTGACCTCTGTGTCTACTTAGTGTGGGGTACATTCGAGTGGTCAGTAGTCTGGAGGCGCGTTGTAGTCACGATATACAGAAACTAACAAAAGCAGTAACACTCCGTCCCAACAAAATTTTATTTCACTGAGTTAACAATTAAAACAGAATATATAATATAGCACAGAAACATTTATAGGAAAAGGTAATTGGAAAAATATGCTACGACATTGAACCGGATTACAAATTTATACAAATGTAACACATTTAATAGTTATTGAGTAAAAGAATATTTGATAAAATTACGTAAATCTTCAACAGGATTGTGATAAAATGGATCACCAAATAAAACTCTAGTTAGTCCGATTAGAACCAATCCAGCTAAAACAAAACAAAGGCATATCTTGAACGACGGTCTACGTATGTACAGAGCATCTGTAACAAAAGAAGAAACTGTATTAGGGTAGAGAAAGAGACGACAAAAAATGAATTAGTCATAACTAAATTGTCGTAAAAGTGTCTGATGATAAATGATACCTAACAGAGACGGTGTGATAGTACAGAAAGGGTAATGAACAGAGCATAGTTTAGAACACAAAAAACAAAACATCAGCGTTACGCAATGTATATACCGAACTTACCTACTATTACTTAACCTACTTAAATGATTTATGATTTGTATGCTTCTTTTCTATCTTATGAACTAAAATGTGCAAGAATGCCTATTAAATCTCAGTTATTAAGTTGGGAGTTAATAATTACGGTGAACTTGCAACCATTGGAATACTTCGCGTGTACTGTGCTAAAGTAGCAAAGTGTTCATAGCACAGAATGAAATTTAATCGCAGCCTAGTCAACCCTTTAAGCATTGCTACAGCTTAAGTAATGTATCCTATTATTCACGTTCATTCAGCATATGATGAGGGCCACTGAACTTAGGCTGAAAAAATGCAGTAAATAAGATACAAATAACCCTAATTTCTAACTAACTTCCAAGGCACTTTCGTTATGAGACAACTACCAGAAAATTGTTTCGCTTTATTCAAAATCTACTTTGGTTATGTTCATTATCGAGAATAAAGCTTTACCATCCTTCTAAACGAAAGCATTCATCGAAAAGACATAAAACAATGTTGCATCGAGGAAATTCCTCCATCAGAGCATTCATTTGGGCAGTCGCACAATCGACAGTGAATGATACCGTTTTGGATGTATCGTTCATAAATCTCCTAAACTTCCGATATCTGCAAACACTTCCATCCTAGTAAAAGAATATATAACTCTCGTTCCTCTCCCAAATCCATCAATCACAACAGACGGATACAAAGGCCATCTATAATAAATATGTCGAGGAAACTATACCTTCTGGTACTGCCAGTTACTTACTCTTAGTCGTTTTGCAGATACGGTCAACTCTAACTACTTCTGAAAACTTGTGCCAGGGGTCGATCATATGACTACGAGCAAAAGCGACATTTGAGGCGAAACCTACATTGTGACGCGGAACACTAAGTGGACATGTCTGTCTGAATTTATCGTACACGCATGATCATATTTGACAAGTACAATTTTAGACTAAATAACATAAATATTGGAGAAAGGAAAAATATTCCAGAAACCATTTAAGTGGTCTGTAATGTCTACTTTTAATCGAATAAGTTCTAAGATGTTGGTTTAAGTCTAAATTTTTAATCGTTAACATGCATTTAGTCAGTCGACTTCACGCAGGTATTACAAGGGGTTGCGTCATTGGAAAGTGAGAAGAAAGATGATACACAGATGATAGAGAAAAACACATAGAATGTAGAACTTACAATCATTATCAGTTTATCAGTCACAAAGGGTTTGAAAATTTTTAAAATTTCACAATAGATGGGAAGCACAGCATTATTTTCATATTGTCAGAATTGCAGGACCAACTTTGTGACGACAAACAGATTTCATGATGGAGTTTA